TGTGTGTGTTCGTCTGTCCGGGTTTTTCAACTCGCCAACCACGCAAGCTTAGAAGCTGAAATTTGGCAGTGTGTTCCACAGCCAAGTGCCACCCCAGAACCGCGGTACCAACCCTCACGCACGTCTGGGCCCCGCATACAATCGAGTGAAAGTTCTGGCGGGAAAGCTGATAAATTGAGGACGAAAAAAGCTAGAAAACTGAAACTTTATGGTAATGTTCCCTACTCACGTATGAGCGATATCAGTTGTTTAAAGACGCCCGAGACCCAGTACGCTACATGTGAAAGTTTTGGCCCGAAAACTACTAACCCGAAAACGGGAAAAGCTAGAAAGCTGAAACTTTAGGAGAATGTTTCCTACTCATGTACGACAAAAGTCAGATGCTTAGGAGCAGCCGGGGCCCACATATGAGCGAGCGGAAATTTTGGCGCGAAAATCATTAACCCGAGAATGAAAAAAGCTTGGAAGCTGAAATTTTACGAGAATGTTCCCTCTCACGTACGAGCAAAATAAGGTGTTTAAAAGCACTTGGAGCCCACATACGAGCGTGTCGACGTTTTGGGGCGAAAATTACTAACCCGGGAGCGGGAAAAGCTAGAAAGCTGAAACTTTAGGGTAATGTTCCCTACTCATTTATGACCAAAAGATTTCATATTCTTCTTCTTAAAACCGTCTGCTACTTAAGTAGGGACACGTGAAAATTTTGATGGGAAAACTGCTAACACGGGAACGAGAGAAGTTGGAAGGCTTTAATTTTAGGGGAATGTTCGCTACTCATATGCGACTAAAAGATTTCAAATTTAACTCTTGTACTGCGGCCTTTTTCGCGGACCAGCAACTTTCCACTTGTCGAATCACTGATGCCGACATCTACAACTGTCATACCACATAGCTGCACAATTAACTTCCTGAAATTCGAGGGCCAGTATGTCACAGGGTTAGCTACTGTAATTCCGTGCGATCTTGCTACGGCACGAAAAGTGCAGAAACGCATAATCGCAGCGACCCGCCTGGTGCATTCCAGCCCGGGTTTGAATGAAGCCCGGTCATTTTCTGATAAATGTTCGTTCTTCGGTAAAATGCAAATTTCCAGTTAACTGAAAAGTAGCAATGTTGCTAAACCGGT